GAGAAGGACTATGGAACTGTGTTTCCCGAGCCACAAAACTGGGTTAAGAGCCTTCTCGTCTCCATCCAGTCATGTGGCGTGAGCCGGATTCGAACCCGGGCGTGGCTGAGAAGCCCATGAGCACGCACACAGGTGTTTTTTAGTTCGACAGCCCAAGGCCAGGTAGAATTTTGATCTTCCCCAAGAATGGCTATTTCCTGACACGTTGAGTCCCAAGTGCATTCCTACTTCTGAAAGCCTCCTCATACGACTTTTCTAAAATTCAGTATATCTGGCATATGGAGGGGGAGTTTTCAGGATGAAGCCAGCCCGACCTATTCTTCTATTCCCATGTGTCCTCACGAGAAGGTGAGGGCTATGATGGTGGGAACGTTCGTGTGCTCTGTGCGTGATGTCTCCCCAATTCCCTCCACACGTGCACGGAGCCACGTGGGTGGCGGTTCGGGATGCTGACTCTCGGGGCGCTCCCAGGAACACGGACCGTGTGATTAACGCCTGCAGCCCTCTCCCCGTTAGCGGGCTCTGCACAGAACAGCGAGGAACGTTAACTCACCCTTCTCGTGTGTGCCGACTGGCTGAAATTTACCCAAGGATTTTTTTTTTAAATGCAACAGATTGGAGTTTATCTTGGAAGGGTACTTCCATCTGTGAGAACTGTCACTGGAAGAGAGAGGAACACTTTAAAATAAACCCACCAGCTGTGTTGATCAAGTTCTGGCCAGGGAAGGCCCCGAAGGGGGCAGGCCTCTCCGTTGAGTCAAGCAGACCCCACGAGACGGGAGCCGGCCTGCGAGTTTTTCCTGGGCCTCGCTGAAGACTTGGAACCCCGTTAAGTGATAGCGGGGTAACACCGATGCAGTGTCAAGCTGTAACTTTAAAACGAAAAGCAGAGAATGAATAAATAACTTGCATGAATGGCACATGTCGTACCTTAGAACACGCTCCAAAAACCCCAGAGGGTAACGGAAGATTCAACGGTTGCAAAGTATCAGTGAGCTAATGGACCCAAGGACATTCAACGCCAGAGCCTCTTCTTTTGATGGTGTACAAACAGCAAACATGTCCGGCATTATTATTATTATTATTATTATTATTTGGCCTTTTAGATTTTTTATTTAAAGAAGGGGCAAAAGTGCCCATGCTTTATACATAAAATAAATCTTTGCACAGATCTGGTATTTATTGTTCATGCCTCCTAACAGAGCACTTTACACTTTATTTTTATGCAGTCGCCGTCTGAGACGGAAATGTTTGTGGCTGAGTGAATAACATGGAGAAACAAGTTGAAGCGGTTCTGAGTTTTCTGGGAGACTGCTGGGGTATCTTTGAAGTACCTTCTAAATTTAAATTCTATAGCCTTTCCTTTTACACAAAGGCTTAAGCGCTCCCGGAGTGGGAGTCGGGCCTCTTGTGCAGAAGGAGGACTCGAGAAATCAGCCCACTTACTCTGAGACAAAAATAAAACATTGATCTTGAAGCCCTCGGTGGGCCGAGTTGAGGGGGTGTTCCCTCTCTAACAGGTCGCCTTGGCTCCGAGTACCAGGTCCTTGTGCAGCGGAGGGTCTGGGACACTTGTCCAGATGTGTTTTTGAGAGGCGGGTGGGGACAGCGACTTAGGAATCACCTCCCCGCCCCCCCCCATGCAGGCTCAGCCCCATTTGTGAAACCGCGTCCACATGCGTGACGACGCTGTCCTACTTTGGTGTCGTTGTGTCGTCTCTGCATTCCCTTGCTGTCCACCCCCTTTCTGTGAATTTCTGCGTCATCTGTACGGTGATCTCCCCAGTGAGTCCCTCAGTACTGGCACCCCGATGTTAAGAAGCATCAGTACTCAACTCTTGGGCTGGTCTTCAGAATTTTCTATAACAAGATGCAAGCCCTTTCTAAAAATCGTGTCTTCTAATCGTCATTTCTGAAGTGCTGGGAATGAACGGTTGTAGCCAGATTGCCAAGTTATTGTGGCAGGGGGACTTCTGGACACTCAGCAACGTTCACATGAATGTCATCTCTCTCCTTCCTGCCTCCTGCCACCCAGAATGGCTTTCACCGCCACCATTCAAAGCTGATTCTAAACCTCAGCCCCAAATGACGTCTTCCTCTGATACCAAAGCATCCTGGCCTCAGGGAGCGTGTATTGGAGTTTTTGAAAAACGCCCTGGTGCTTTTTATTGACGAAACACTCAGTCATTCTTGCAAATTTTTAAAAATTTCATAGCTGCCTACCTCTTGTTTTGGTGTAAGGGTTAGGCTCGGAGCCGAGACTGTTGAGGGACGACTAGACGGTTTCATCGTCTCTGACGTGCTGTCCACGGTAGTTTGACAAGTCGTGAGCCATAAATGTGATTTTAAATGTTTTATTTGTTATACTTAAAAAAAAAAAACATGCCGTGTTCGCTTCTGTGTCATCGTTTTACGTGCGATCCCAAAGCTCCCATCGGGGCTTATCAGCCATAGATGCTGTTGGGGAAAGATCTCTGGGTATTTATCCTGAAGTGCGGTCTGCCGTTGAGTTTCCTCTACGATGGTGTTTTCACAAGGACGCTTTTCACTGTGCGGTAGGAGCTTTGAGTCAGTGAGCCAGGCAACAGTGTTAACCAATCATGTCACAGGTTCCTGAGATGTCAGGTAGGAAGAGGAAAATGCACTGACAATGAACCTAAGACTTTCTGCACAAGCGGCTGACCGCTTAGTCACGGGCACTGAGTAAGAGAGTTGGTGGTTGGAAGCAGGAAGCAAGGGTGTTGGCTTAGAAATAGACCCGTTAATGTGAAGTTAATTTCTGTTTCTCGTGGCTAATCTTAAGTAAAATTGTCCACGATCAGAAAATAAGGCCAACCAAATGTTTGTGTAATTTGCTAGTGTTGTACTAAATATTTAAAAGAAATAAATGCAAGGTGACAGCGAAGTAGTATTTAGGTTTCCTAGGAAAAATCACCAGTGGTCCACACTGCTATTTCATATTAATTAAATAAAGATTTGCACACAGCAGAGATACCATTTATTTCTGTTCAGTAGAAAGATACTTCTGGAACTTATTTTGGAAGTATTTGCGGAGGATTCCTATAGACTGTCATTTCAACGTTCTTCAGAAGCCCCTGTTAAAGCCATGCCTGCTTCAAATGCCCTTTGAATCAGTTTTATTATTTTAATAATTCTATATTCACTGATGAGTCAAATGAAATCATTGACACATGCTCCTTTCATAAGTGTTAGAGAGCTTTACGTTATTAACTTTTGAAGATTCTACTATGATAGTCTGGCACTTTACTGTGGGCCCCTCTGGGTGCCATTAGAGAAGATTTAACAAAGAGTGGAAAATATGACCAGATTTGCAGGGACAATCAGCTCTCAACTTCTTGAATTAAGCAACAAAGACTTTAAACTCACAACAACTTTCCATGACACTGACGGAAAGATCGACCCCAAAGGCACTGTAACTGCGCTGTGTGATCTGTTGAGTAATTATCAGTGTTCGTGCACACCATGGACGAACCGTGGCTCGGGACAGAAATGTGGCTTTGAGTCCCAGCTCTGCAAGGCGTATGCCCCATGACCCTTTGGCAGATCATTTAACCTTTCTCCCCAGGTTACCTTATTGATAAGTTTCACGACACATTCCTCCTGTGTGTTCAGAAAATATGTACCGAAGAACCATTTGTGTGTGCCAGACATGACTGCTGGTTGCCAAGGAGACAAATGCAGTTAGACCATCGTGAATGCTGTTGGAACCATGCATTAGAATCTATTTTTAAATGTGTTATTCAGTTACAGAATGTCAGCGTGATTCTTTTAAAATAGATTGCAGTATTCTGGTTATGTGTTTAATTGTTTCATCTATTTTGTTTGCCTTTTCTTGCCTGACTTTCCATCAAAATTATTTTGAAGTATTTTTCTGCTTGCTTCCATTTCTGGCTTACCTGGGAGTCTGTCTCATTTACTTATTTGTTTTTTCTCTAATTAGGAGTCATTTAATTCGGTCTTTTCTCATGCCTAAAAATTTTTGATTGAGTGCTGGGCAGCTAAAGAATAAATAAAGAAAGGCCTGGCAAAGTACCGGGAATGTCCCAGAATCAATAAACAGTAGAGCTATTTGCCGTCAGCAATCTGTAGTCTCTCATAATTAGTATTTATGGTTGTATTATTCACGGAAGTGAGGTGTGTGTTTGTGAAGACCTTCAAAGGTATTTTAAACAAAGCCAAAGGAAAAATAAATGTGTTAGTTTCATATTGATAAGTGTGCGTCCTACCATTGCTTTTGAGAAACGTACTTCAGAGCAGTTTCTACCATTGCTTTTGAGAAACGTACTTCAGAGCAGTTTCGTGTTTACAGAAGCGTTGTGAAAATAGCAGAGAATTCTACAAATACCTGCACATGCATTCCCCACCATTAACCTTGACTTTATAGCTCATTTGTTACAAGTACTGAAACATTGTTTCTATACTGTTATTAACTAAGGTTGTAGTATCTTCGGTTTCCTTAGTTTGTACGGACTTCCCATTTTCTGACCAAGGAATCTTTCCAGAATAACCTACGACATGTAGTTCTCCAGTCTCCTTAGGGTCCCTTTGGCTGATGCATTTTCTCAAATTATCGCCATTTTCGATGTTCTTGACAGTTTGGAGGATTACTGGCCAGCCCTAAATTTTACTTTTGACTAAAAAGGAAGAACAGCTCTCAAAAGAGCTAACTTGTTATTAATTCTTTGGCAAGTGACGCTATTTGTACATTGTGGATAAGCTGGTTTCTGAAGACTCGGTGTGTGTAAAATGAGCAGATTCTGAGCAGATCTGAGCGAGGCAGGGGTGTGGAAGGGAGAGATGGGGGGTGACCTGTTAGGGCCGGTCCCAGGGCCCCTGGGCAAGGGGTGGCGCCTGCAGCTCTGCTCATCAGCACGCACTTGATCTTCATCCCAATCACCTAATAGAAACAGTCCAGGTCGTAATTTGAGTGTGTACGGTATATTGTTACATAATAAAAATCCTTGTTTTTATTTTGGCAGAACTATTATGGAGCTGCCAAGATGATTTTCTCAGACAACCCGCTGGGTCTGACCTGTGGGATGGTATGCCCCACCTCAGACCTTTGCGTAGGCGGGTGCAATTTATACGCCACCGAAGAGGGACCCATTAATATTGGCGGATTGCAACAGTTTGCTACTGAGGTAAGACTGACACATTGTTCTCTCCCCCCATAGCACAGAAATGTTAAAGTAACTCGAATGCTTGGTTCTCTGTTGGCATCCACCACATTTAGCCTGATACGCAGCTCAAGTGAAGGAGGTACGCGTTTTGTGCTGTAAACAGTATTTTTTTATTCCACAACTCGGCTACAAATAATGAAACTTTACAAAACCATATGTCAAGCTAATTGCAGTCCCCGAAAGTTATTAAAATACTTTGACGGAAAGTTACATAAATTAGGGGATCTGAAAATAGAATTTATTCATCAACTTGGCACTGGAGTGTCTGGAGTAGAACCCCATTATGAAAGGGCAGTCTTGCTTAACTGATTCTCTCCCCTGAAACTCTCTTTAATCTTCCCAGCTTGAAATAACACATCAGTGTTATTCTGTAATATTTGGTGAGTAGCAGAGGTTAGGGTACGTTCGAACACCCTGAAACTGAACAATACTCATTGCCGTTAGATGTTCGTAAACTTACATGTGGGAAATATGCACGCTATCTGAATACTGATTCATAATGGAATGAAATGGAAGCATTTTCCCTGTTTATTTGATGAGTTTGGGCCGAGGCTTTCTCTCTCATGAGCCCTTTGTAAAATGGCTGGGCTCTCTGGGGTCTCTTGTGGGGAACCCACCACCAGGTCACTTCCCACGTGTCACGCTTTGATGGGCATGGTAAGATTTTGTAACCCTTGGGGTCCAGTTTGCTGGAAGGCCAATAAAATGCCTGTCAGCCCCAGATTTTTAGTTAATAACCTTCCCTATCTGGGTTTGTCACCTTAAACGCGACACGTCCTTTTCATGTAGGACCCTCCCCCTAATATCCCCCACGCTTCAGCCGCACTTTGCTTTTAGTAATAAATCAGGGTTATCCCCTCCCTGCGTCCTGACAGGTTAATTCTGAGGAAGGGCTCCTGGGAATGAGAAAATTGAAACAATTTGAGGGCGTGAGTTGCTGCAATAAATTCTAGGATTTAATTTCTTTTCTCGCCAAATTCAAAATTGCATTAGGCTTACCTGGCCAGTGCAAGGTATGATCTTTACAACCTAAGAAAATCCTTAGTTGATGGAGAAGATTCACTTGAATTCTCCCTACATCTGTCTTGGGGGACCCACGGTCTCTTCATTAAACCAGGGCCAGCTGGCCAGGCCGTTGTAAGTGAAAGGTCACACAGTATGTATATGAACTCACACTGCATTTCAGAACAAAAGGAGTTAAAATAATGTTGGTTTTTCAGTGACCTGGGGCAGAGAGAGAGAGACAGACAGACAGACAGCATTCCTCTGAGAACACTCTCTTGCTTTTAATGATGCTCTGCCTTCTGAAGCAAAGGTCTGTGTCTCTAAAACAGCGTAGATTAGAATGGCACCGAAGGCATTCTATGTCCATCACGGCATTTAGCAGAAGAATGCATTTTCCTATTTCATTCCAATTATACTTTGTGTAAACATGGCTTCAGCTGTACCTACTGCATCATAAATAAAAATCTCCCAGGGATGTTCTGTAGAACAGCTTTCCATTCATTCTTTTAAGTTTGCCACTTAGGGCAAGTTATTCTAGAAAGCTCTGTCTTCTCTAAGCCAAGGGGTGGTACCCTTCAGTTTATCCGACTGTCGAGATGGTTGTGCCGACGAGCAGAACACAGTGTGCCCGTGTAGGGGACTATACACAATACTGTGATCCTTTCCAACTGTTCAACTGTTGATATGAGTGCTCAAGTCAGAGCAGAACGGGATGCAAATAGTTTTCCCTTCTGGTTGTTTGATAACACGGTGATTGATTTTTGACCTTTAAAGAAATAGAAATCTATTTTTCAACCAAATTAAATAAAGGTTAGGGAAGCAGACGGCAGTAGCATGATATTTTTCAAAATTGCTTTTCCTATAACTTACCGGTGATTTTTAAAATACCAACGCCGTAGCCTGCCAGTTTTGGTCCAGGCCCTCCCTTCCACTCTTGCATTTGCATGTGGGCATGTGAGTTGGGGGGACTGTGGTGGAGAGAAATAAGAGCATTCGAAGGACAGCGGCATTGGGATCGGGAAACCAGGCGCTGTCCTTGTCCTGTGTCGTTTTTACTCAGCCCTCAGCTGCCGGCCCCCCATCCACAGGGGCTTGTGGCAGACACTCGCGAGCATCTCCGGGACACGCAGGCTGCCTCTCTCCAGGGAGCAGGTCTTCCTAGTTCAGGCAGGTCTAACAGTAGTGCTTTAATATGGTAATTTGGCGATCCAATATTAATAATAATATTGTGGTTTGGATTTTCTTACTGATTTCATGAGAGTTTTAAAATTTCTCTGTAGAAGTCTAGCCCTTGAAATGGTTATTTTAAACTGTGTTTGAGCCCTGACTGGTGTGGCTCAGTGGGTTGGACATCATCCCACAAAGTGAACGGTCGCTGGTTCGATTCCCCGTCAGGGCGCATGCCCGGCTCATGGGCTCTGCCTGGAAGGGGTGCGTTTGCAAGGCAGTGACGGACGTTTCTCTCTCACATCACTGTTTGTCTCCCTTCCCCTCTCTCTAAAATAAGTAAATAAAATACTTTCAAAACTAAAAAATAAATGTGTTCGAGTAACTAATTCAATTTTTGAGACATCTTATCACATGTAACAGACCAACTACACTCTCCTTTCTTCTCAAATTTAACTAATGAATTGTTGCAGGAGGAGATTAGACCTTTTTAACTCGTTCCCTAAAGCTTGAAAAGTAACTGTAAGTAGATAATTAGCTTCATGTCAAGTCAGTTTTCTTCTGCTGATGTGAAACAGTGATGGAGGCAATGTAGACAAATTAAAATGAAAATTCCAGGGCGCCAACATTTGACCTGAAATGTTAAAATTAATGAGGGCCAGAAGATCATTATTTAAAATTGTTGCCTCGATTGTGAACTTTTAGGACTAACTACATTAGATTAGGAAATTGATGTCTGAAACTGGTATTTATTTTTTGCGATAAGCACCCTCGGGGGTTATTTAATACCCATTACATACACCATTTTTGTGGCATTCACTTCTCAATACGGTACTTTTAGTTCCGTTTCTACCCTTTAGTTAGGAATGGAACCGGCAGGTGAAATTCCAGACGCACTCAGGTGAGTCACTGAGAAAAGAGTTATTCTTCAGGTTTTAGACGAAGCATGTCTTTCAGTGACTTTTTTGGTGTCACCTCTCATCTGGCATTAGCCCGTCCTTGTCCCTACATCCTGTGCTATGTATACAGCATCATATACTAGCATTTTCTCTATATTTTATTGAGCGAATGCAGTTCACATGAATTCCGTCAGACCTTACAATGCAATAAAATAGCAGAGGAATTCCATCAGTACTGATAATGCAAAAAGAATACACTATGATAATTTAAGGAGCATTTTACAATCACCCCAACATTTACCTTTTGCTTCAATGCTACAGCGATCCATTGGCCGGGCTGGGAACGAAGGAGGGACACACTCCCGTGACTTGCCTTGTGAGCAGATGTTTTTCCTGCCCTGTGTCTTTGGAGCATGAAGACCACCGGAAGCCTTCAGCCTTTGCCCAGGACGGGCACACTCAAGGAGAACACAGAAACGCGTACACAGACAAATAATAGAATAGCACATGCGCTCTCCTGAATAATGTACTTTTGTGATACCTTCCATCTCCCATAGCAACGTGGAGACAAAGAACATAAATGGGGGCAGTCCTCAAATTAAAAGCGGGGTCCGCAAAGGTGCACAAACTGAAATGTGGGGTTGGCTGTCTCCAGCTTGTGGGCTCTGTCGGTTGCTTTGTAAGTAAGGTCGTCAGAGGAGTGAGACACGGGGGAAGGATGTTGTTGAGAATTAGCGCGTGTGGCGGGCGGGCCGGTGCAAACACCCCGTGTGATCAGGCCCCACTAGGTTGGGATCAATCAACTAAACAGACGTCGGTCGAGTGTCGAGTAGAACTGGGAGTTGTTGAGGCTGCTTCTAAACCGCAGGTCCTCAGACACCTCGCGGTTTCTCCGGAAATGATGAAGCTGACAACTGGAATTCCGGAGCAAATGCAGTAAGACATGTGGGCTTACATGAGCACCCTGGGACTGATAGTCCAGTCTCCGTTACGTTTTGTCACTTGGTGTTGGAGGTGGTCAGACCTTCATACCAGAAAAGGATCGGGGTGCAGGGGAGATGCAGTTCGGCCACACCCACTAGTGTGGGCCGTCCACACTTTCTGGTGAGATCTCACTGTAAGAAGCGGATAAACAGCCCCTGAGACACGTCAGCTACGGATACGTGATGTTTTTCCCACCTTGCACGTGAGGAAACTAAGGATCAGAGTGACTAAAAAACCGTAGTTGAGCTTAAACTGTTGCTGCCCTGGAGGGTGGGAGGTACTTAGAACTTGGGGAAGCCCCAGATCAGCCCTGTGGGGAAATACCACTCAGGTCCGATTTATGGGTAAGTAACAGGGGCTCCATGCATTTCTGTGCTTCCATAACTGACCGCTGATGATGGTGGATCTAACCTGGATGATTTCTCAGGTTCTCCCCGGGCCCAGGTAATGCCACAAGTCACCCACGCAAATTCCGTGGAAACCAGGTATTCTGACCACAGGTGCACAGGCTTCTCCCTGTCTGCTCAGCCACAGGGACCTCGGGCACGTACCTCCCTACTCACAGAACACGGTCGCTGTGCCTCGGTTACCGTGCACACACACCACTGTACTGAAACAGGTTGTCCACAATGAACGTGTAGGCTTAGGCGTTTGCAGGAATTATGCACGTTACCAAAAAGCTTGTTTTTGCCTTCCAGCCATCCAAAGAGTGTTGTATAGCCAGGTTCCAGGTTTGCAGGGCCTGAGATCATGAACTTTGTGTTTCTTCTTGGACAAATAACACAGAGGCCCTCCTGCAGTGGGGGCCTTTAAACACAAAGCCTGGGCAGGGCTCCGTGCAGTGGGGGACCCTGGCGCCTAAGCTGCCACCTGAAGTGTCCTCTTAATCGAGATAGCCAGCACCCG